AGCTGAAAACTTCCTTGTGAAACCTGAGGCCACTCCTTTCATCATATCCTCCCCAAAATGGTGTTCACTTCATTCCTTCATTTCCATGTCTTTAGGTATAGCTACACTATTCTGATGGGCATCCTCAGGACTAAGCAAACCAAGGGGGGCATGTGCTTCTGCCATTCTCTTTCACACACTATTTGTGGATTTTGAAAACACTAATTACTGACTTTTGAAAATGCATCTTCCCTTGCTTTATGGAGCTCTGAATTCCCTTCTTTGCTGTCATTGTGCTAACTTTGTTGGTGGTTAGACATTTTATTTCCCCATTTACTTTGCATGGCTTGAAGCCAAGGTCTTTCCCTGCATGCATCATCTCTTCATTCTTTTAGCATTTAAGCTCATTAACCTTATTATTTTCCATGGCTCTAACCATCCCTGATATGTTACATTTACCTCTCAACAGCAGAGTCCCTAATTTCTTTTTTCTTTTTCTTTATTTTTTTTTTTCAGACGGGGTTCTCTGTGTAACATCTCAAAGTCACTAAGATCCACCTGCCTCTGCCTCTCAAGTGCTGGGATTAAAGGCGTGCACTACCACCACCTGGCATCAGAGTTCCTAATTTCTAATTGAACCTTCAGGACAAACTATTTCTTTTTCAGTAGTGGCCAAAGCAGAGAGTCACACCCTATCCTTGGACTTCTTTCCATGCAACTAAGTGTGTTTTATTCTCAAACTCCAATATATCTTCCAAAGTAAATGAATAGTTTCATGGAACACTTTTTTACAGAGCTTTAGAAAACTCAGTTACAGTTCCCTTTGTGTTATTAGTAAAATATGAGAAAATTAGCTGAATCTCACAAGGGATATGAAGATCAAACATGTGATGGTTATGGGTATAATTAGAAATTGCAAGCTGAAGTTTAGCAACTTTAAATGTAGTATCATAATCAATTTATAGTTTATTCAAAAATGCAACAAGAAAAATCATGACACAGAAATAGATTCTCAATTACCATTTTCTAATTTCTACAATTCATTCTGTGCAAATACTTGAAACTTACATCTAATATAGAATTATAGGTCAAGAAATTTTTGTAGTTTTCTTCCTGAAAGGGTAAATTAATCTTATACACTCATTTCACAATAAAATGGACTTAGACTCCCTGGTTAAAATAGTGTCTCATTTTTCTCTTCTCATAACACACTGAATATTTAAGTGACACATTTAACATCATTTTCTCCTCTCATATAAAATCACCTTAAAGGCATGCATTGTTATTCATAATGAGCATGCATAGTCAACTGAATTCATGAAGTTTAGTGAAAAGTGAAGACTCACTTTCTCCAAATATAATTTAAAATATTCATGGCCATAGCAGTAGACCAAGAATGGATATCTCAAACCATGGGTCCCAGACATCTATGCAGCTCACACATATATAATGTGTCAGTGTGTGTGGGGGGGATGGTGTTTGAAATATTTACTATTTTAATAATTTTTCCTCAAATATTAAATCATAGAATCGTCAGCAAATTTACATGTACAACAGAGTTTAGATCTCAGAATGCATAGGTAGATAGATACATAGATGATAAATAGATAGATGATATGTAGGTAGACAGATATATACATATATGATAGATAGGTATCCAATTTAGTCAAAGATAGATAATTAGTCAATAAACTAAATATTTCATCGTGGATGTTGGTACATGCATAGAGCCCGAATAGTCAGGAGACTTAAATAGAGAATGACAGTCAAGACAGGCCTAGGCAACAGAGAGATTAATAATTGATTGTTTTGATTAATAATTGTAATGTAAAAAATTAAAAAGAATTAACTTTAATAATTTTCTCTCTTAAGTCAACATCCTATCATTTATTTCAGTATTTTCTATTACACAGTATTAATCATTTATTTATCTTTGCCTTATTTCTTCTCTTCCTGCTGCCTCTCCTTCTGCTCCTCCTCTTCTTCTTTTTCTTTTTATTCTTCTTTGTGATGTTGGGGATGGAACCTAGGGGCTCATGCAAATTAATAAACTCTCAATATTTGAGCTATATCTCCAGTTCTCTTTTTGCTCTGTTATTTTTAAAGACATGGTCTCACTAATTTGACAAAGCAGAAACTGAAATTGTAATTCTGCCTCCGACTCTTAAGTAGCTAGGAGTCCAGGTCTACACCACTAGGCCTGGCTTACCACTTCATTTATTTCATCATCAACATTCTAAAACTTTAGAAAATATTTACCTTGTCGGTCTGTATTACAAAGCAAACAACTCATTTAAAAACCTGTATTGGTTCTTTCAACATGACAGTAATTTTCTCAGAATCCTCTCATAATATAATGCAGTTCAAATGTGTTTGTTTGCAAATAACCTTTAAAATTCCAAATGTTTTCTAATTACTTTCTTCAGAAAACATTCTTAGCACTTAGGGATAGATAGAGTCCTATAAAAAATTGAATTCTCCTTTACTGGAACTCTAGATGCTTCCCCCACCCCCTTTTCCTTAGACTTTGCCTATGCATGAGCCTCATTCTGTCAGGCTTTATAGTGACTACACCAGAAAGGAAAACGGATTTCCCCTTTTGTACATTGTTGATTGATGTTCTTTGACTCTACCCCAAAAGGCCCAACAACAGAAGGGGAAAAACAGCACATGAGCAGCTTGTTACTACTTCTACCTCAGGGCCGGGGAGTTTCATATATTTATCACAGACCTAGGCATGTTTACAGAATTAATCTTTAGTAGTCACCACAGCCCTATCACTTTCTACTTCCTTTCACCGCATCTAAGTTGCAGCGACATATCTGGAAGTGCACGATTTTTCCCACTTGGTTGGTTTCCTGATTTCATTTGCTATCTCTCCCCTGTTTTCTTTCTCTTTCCTTTAATTTCCTTCATGCTTTCCTGGACATTCTTTCCTATTCCCTCATTGAAGCACTTTCTAACCATCATAGTTTCTTCCAACCTGTCACACAGCAACATTGGATTTTAATCATATCCTAGGTAAACCTTCTCAGTGGAGGGGAACTGTCTCAGAAACAGGGAGGAAAGCCCAGTGGCTTCAGTGAAGATGGATAAGATCCCAAGAGAACAACAGAGCCCAGCTCATGCAAGAACTCAGAAACAGGGAACAGTGACAAGTAAGAACGATCAGGATGCATTACGTGAAATTTCCAAATAATCAATGAAAATATTAGGTTGATAAAAAATGATAAGTATAAGCTGGGCGATGGTGGAGCACGTCTTTAATCCTAGCACCTGGGAGGCAGAGGCAAGCGGATCTCTATGAGTTTGAGGCCATCCTGGTCTACAGAGCTAGCTCCAGGACAGCTAGGGCTACACAGAGAAATCCTGTCTCGAAAAAACACCAAAAAAGATAAATGCAATCAAATTTCCAATGGTATTAGAAGGATGAAAGTGTTGTTGCAGGCCAGAGAGACAATGGAAATCTCCTCAGGCAGCCTGTAGTCACCCCGTAACACTCATTTTGGAAGAGCACTGACAGCACAGGAATTGATTGAATGTGAAAAGTAAGAGTAACCCGCAGCCTCGTGCCCAGTCTGAACTACTTCATTTCACACTCTTCAACACAGAGCCGGTCCCTTCTCATTCCTTCCCCTCTGCTTCTTTTCATTGTTATACCACAACAGAGTTTGGAGCTCTGTACCAACTCCAAGTCCATCCAATCCTGTTCAGATGTCAGTTTAGGAACCACAAACTCCAGAACCCTTCCTGAGATTCCCCAGAGGGCTAAGGCCAGACCGACTACCACGGTCACCGTCCTTCCAGTATTCAAGTCCACACTGTGGGATTCACAGGTTTTGCTTACACAGGGGGTGCTAGCAGAGACCTTGAAGCCAGACTACAGGAGGGTTTTGTGCTAATTAGGCCAACTATGTGAACTTAGCTCTGTTATTCAAGAAAAACTCTGTTCCCACATTGAATTGCAGATAAGAAAATAGTATGCTTCACAGAAAGCTTCAGATGCCACAGTACAAGTAAAATGCTCACCACAGTGCTGGCACAGAGCAGATGCTAGATAAATGGTAACTATTAGCATGATTTCTCTTGCTATTGGTTTGCATTACCCACATCCACCTGATTATGGGAAACAACACTAAATCAGGAATCACCTTGGTAATTCTGGCCTACTACAAAAATTGTTTTTTCAATGAAGCAATCAAGAAAGATAGTTTATTAGTCATACCAGATAAACGCACATGTGGGAGTTGGTTAGCAATCACTATGAGTAATTTCTACGTCCTCTAACTAATGAATTTTAGTTTTCTCAAGCTACCATTTACCTACTAAGCTAGGTGGGATCACAATAATTATTTTTTTCTTAAAGTCCCACCTGAACAGGTGCATTGCACACACAGAAGACAGGGAGGAAAAAAACTAGAGAGCTTGGAGGGGCAGAGGGCGTGACCCTCTTAATCGTTCTTCAGCTCCTTTTTTTTTTTTTTTTAAGATGACTTGGCAAAGTCCGCCACATCAGCTCAGCGGCAGAAGCAGCGACGCCTTCTCAGTGGAACTGACTTGCAATAGCGAGCTTTCACACTGCTGCACATTCGTGGCTTCTGTGGATATATTATTAACTGGTGGTTTTAGCTTCCAGTCTCCCAGAGTTGCCAAAGCGGTTAGAAGTCATTTGGAAAGCCTTTTAGCTGAATCTCTCTGATCCAGAAGGCCAGTTGGCTTCTCCTGAAGTACTTTGGAATTTTGCAGCGACCACTGATCCTGGTCCAGGTGCATGGGGAAGACGCTAAGGTTATAAACCCAAACATTGAACCTGAAGACCCAGCGCAAAGTAGAAACTGAAACTATCCTGCCTGCTTGCTCTACGGGCAGAGCCTACGGAAGTTATGGCAAAGCCACAGCGTCTGGCCAGCCAGTGATGCATGCAGCCCCTCCTGGGATGGATGGACTAGGCGCGGCGTGGGTGAGAGGAGCCAGCTGCCCGGA